ATAGTAAGATTAGGGCTGAAACAATTATCATTGGAAGAAAGAAAAGATTTCCTGGTTTTTCAGCGGCGAACAAGATGAAAATTTCCAAAAAAGTGCATTTTCTGCCACCTCGGAAAGCGCAAATTGAGTTGGGTCCTTCCGGATTTTTCTGCAAAATTTTTTTATGAAGAAACTTGGTAAAATCCAAGGTTAACAGCACTACTCAGCCGACTATTAGCTATAGAATGAGCAGTGTTTGTGCAATTCCAATACACTCCAAATTAGGTTAAGGTTTGGCAAAATGGGGGTTTCTACGAGGAGATGTTTTTCGAGTTTCGCTTATAAAACTTCCTCTTTGTTTCTGCAATAATTATTGAGTATGCATAGAGCAGCCAAAGGTTTGTAGATCGTAAAACAATTTACCGCATTCGCAAAGATTGCTTCTGAAAAGAGTTATGGTGATTCAAATCTGAAGTACGAAAACGGGTAGAACTTTTGAAACAACCCAATACTTCCATCACAAAGTCTCCGTAGAAAACGGTGACATAGTTACATATAAAGGTGATTAGTCAAGTTGGTGGTAAGGGAAAATGTTGGTCCTATAGTTGTATATTCACCCACGGCACACACACACTTCGGATGTGGAACAGAGAACCGCAGAGCTTTAGCGTGCAAATAGAAAAGCGATAGCAGTTTTGCCTAGTGACTCCCTCTCATAAAGTTTTAACTAGTATCCAAACTGCGCTAACGTACAAGAATGTCACAAACTCAAACATGTGATGCCTATTGGTGCCTCCCATATAAAGCAATCTATGGACAACGGAGTATTTATTTATCTGCCTAAACTTCTCAACTGTAGTCTCATTTTGTAGATAAGATAAATCGCAAACGTTTTAAGTATACCAACATCGCCACCAAACTTTGCACAATTCCAAGAAACAACATGGGCTTACGCATCGGTACTCCAGAATAAAAAAATCATGAAGAACTAACTGCGCTTTATTTGCATAGTAAAAATCTGCCTTAATCATAACAGTGCCAATGCTAAGGATTCAGCAGCATCAGCTCAACTATTGCTGTGAATGTTGTACTGATTTCTGTCACTTATAATGATTTGAACTCTCAGAAGAACAAGGGCATCATAACTTACAGTAATGGGCTAAGGGTAGTTTACGCGTGATGTGCGTGCGTGCGTGTGTGTGTTTGTGTGCCTATATGAAAAGTTTCTGAGAACTGCTTGCTGCAAGGTACGGAAGGTACTGTCTCTCAAAACAGAGCTAGAACTTAAAGGCAGCAGTTCGGCAGAATTTCGATTTACAGTTTTTCACCTTTTCAAACCCTTTCTCCATGAGGAATCCATATCTGGACTTTTCTGCGCAT